GTATACAAAATTGCAACTCCCTTTATAATCTGAGTTGACACCTCAATAGAAAAAATGGGGAAAAGACATAGAAAAATAAGAAAAAATGTAAATGGCAAATAATTTTATGAAAAATTCAGCCTAGCTAGAAATCAAAGAATATCCATTAAAACAACAATAAAAATATAAATAGACAAAGGTTTTTAAAACCCTGAAAATTGTGTCAGTGTCCAAAAAGAGAGAAATTCTGTAATGGCCTATATGGGAAAAGAATCTAAAAAAGAGTGAATATATGTATACGTATAACTGATTCACTTTGCTGTACACCTGAAACTAACACAACATTGTAAATCAACTATACTCCAATAAAATTTTTTTAAAAAATTAAAAGGAAAAAGAACAGAAATTATCTTAAAAATATGTATGATCATACAGTGGAATACTATGCCAGCATTAACATTATGTTTGTCAAGAATTTAAAGCTATTTAGTGACATAGGAACACTCACAATATACTGAAACGAAATAAGCAGGAAACAAAACTATAAAAATGGTATATGGGCTTCCCTGGTGGCGCAGTGGTTGAGAGTCCGCCTGCCAATGCAGGAGACATGGGTTTGTGCCCCGGTCTGGGAAGATCCCACATGCCGTGGAGCGGCTGGGCCCGTGAGCCATGGCCGCTGAGCCTGCGCGTCCGGAGCCTGTGCTCCGCAACGGGAGAGGCCAAAAAAGTGAGAGGCCCCCGTAACCAAAAAAAAAAAAAAAAAAAAGGTGTAAACCTAATTGGAAAACGTGATTTTATGCATAGAAAAAAATACTGGAAAGAACTCTATCAGAACATTAACCATGTTTAGCTCTGGGTGGCAGTTCTTATTGCCTGCTTTGTCTTTTCCACATAGTCTAACATATTCTTATACTAGTGTGTTGTTACTTTGTGGATGAAATGCCCAACCAAGAATCAGGATTACCAGCTGTGTAAGTCACAACACTGTAAGGCCGCATGTATGACGTGAGAGGTTCAGAAAAATCTAGATGGTTCACAAGGTTCTTTTGAGCTCTAACACTTCACTCATTCATTCAACAAGCATTTACAGAACATCTGTATAGAGCTACGTACAATGCACCAACACTGGGGTCCCCCAGAATTAGACCCCAACCAAACGCAAAGCAAAGTTTGAGTGTGATGCCTCCCGGTGCCATTTGACTTGCCCTTTTTCTGCCTAAGCTTTTAATGGCCTCATATTCTTCCCTTTCTCCTCTTCCCCTTATCAAACCCTGCTCTCAACACAAAACTCAAACTTGATCAGATGGAAGTGTAAATGGATAGCAATGTCTTAAAAGACGGCTTCTCCCAGAGGGGCTTGACTAAGTAGGGATAAAAATTTTACCTAAAGGAACGAGGCCCTCGTGGCCAAATTTTAGGAAAAAGCTAGTGGGGTGGAAAAAGATTTGGGAGTTATCAGCACCTTAGCTCTTGGGGTTCCCTCTCTGACCCTCGCTTATTTGTCTGGTAAATTCTACTCATTTTCACAAATCAATTCTTCCTTGTCATGCCTTCCACATCTCTCCCAGAGGGCAGGGTGCTTCCTCTTTCCTCTGCACTCCCAGAGGACCTTATGTTGCCCTACTATTACAGTGACCCCGTTGCACTGTGGTTTTTCATTTGTATTGTACTGTAATTTCCACATCAGGCTATGAGCCACCTGAGTGCCTCATGTTCCCGGTATCCACAGCGTGCACCCCAAGGCCCAACCTAGAGTAAGTGACAGATGTATGACTAAATGATCTGCATTTCAAGGCCCCAAGTCGAGCAGTGACCTCCTTACCCTGTGGATGGGACTGTTTCTGGGTGTTTCAACGTCAGTCCTTACAGCAGCAGACAAAAAATTGACCATAGTACCTTTGGATTTTTTTTATCAGAATGGGATGGCCTTTACGTGACAAGTTATGAACTTCTAATTCCTAACCTTCTAACCCTTAGAAATTCCCTGGGTTTTCAACCTGAGGATGGCAACTCATCACCGGAGAGGGAAATCAATTTAATAGGTTGGGATTAGCATTTTTTTAATGAAATACAATAGAAGAATAGAAAATAACAATAAAATAGAAGACAAAAGTATTTTAAATCCAAGTATTCCCCAAATAATAATGTGTTGTCCTATGAAACTTTTGTTTCACCTGTGTATGTGTCTGTACACATTACGTCATAGTGAGTTATGATAAAAAACATGGACAGCCACCTTCCCCAGGGTGGGTGGTGGTGGGATGAATTGGGAGATTGGGATTGACATATATACACTAATATGTATAAAATAGATAACTAATAAGAACCAGCTGTATAAAAAGTAAATAAAATAAAATTCATAAAAACAAAAAGAAGAAAGCAAGCCACCTTCCCAAACTATTGGGAGGGAAGGAGCCCGCCCCTTCCTGTGCTGTCTGCCCAGGGCTGAGATTTCACTGTCTCCTCCCTTCCTTCTATCCCAAACAGACACAGCTCTGGGATGGGCAGGATATTTTCCTTAGTGTAGGTTTGGAGTCCAGGGAATTAAGAGGACAAAATAGGCTTTTCTGACCACAAAAAAAATTTAGAGGCTCACATCTACCCCCTCGTATCAGTCATGGGATTCCTGGAACCAGTCTTGTCCTGGATTCTGAGGAAGAGCCGGCACCTGACAGGTATCTCAACAAAGGCCCACCCCTCCCTCCCCCCGACACGCGCGGAGGGAGCCCTACCTCCCCCAGGGTTTGGACATTTGCACGAGCAGCGCCTCTGGGGCTCCGTGCCTCTCAGCTGATACAGATGATACAGCTGGCATCATCAGGCCCAGGCTCACAGGCTGAGCACTCTATTTAAGGAAGACTCTTGAAATAATACTGAACAGGGTATCCACCAACTCCTTGTACATTGTCTCATTTGATTCCAGCAGTAACGCAGTATAGGGGCTAAAACTGCCTTCACCCGCACGAGTAGAGTGATCTTGGGCAACTTAGCCTCTCTGTGCCTCAGTTTCCCCATCTGTAAAAGGGGGATAGTAACTGTATCTACATCAGAGAAGTACTGTAAAGATCAAACCAGCTACCACATACAATCCCTGCACACAGGAAGCATTCAATAAATGTTGATTATTATTATTTAATCATCTCATAAGCCTGTATGATAGTTATTTTTTTCAGATTTATAGATAAGAAAATGAGGCTCAGAGAAATTAAGTAACCTGCCCTATGTCATGCGTCCAGTAGAGGCAAAGCCAGAATATAAATCAGGAACTCCTGACTCCAAGTTCTGTGATCTCTTTCCCTTAGTGATTTAGGAGTCTGTGGGGCATCAGACTACCTCCTGTGCTCAACTTCCTCCTTGTCAGTCTCTGCCGGGCACTCTTGGATCAAAGGTGCCTGGAAGGATGGTGAGTCCAGGGCAAAGCTCCTTCTCAGGATTTTCCTTGGGAGTACAGAATTCATCTTTGGGGGAGACAGATTCTTGAGGGAGTTTGTGTGAGAGTGTGTGTGTGTGTGTGTGTGTGCATGTGTGTTAATATAACAGGGAATCAGAAATGGGGTCATTGCTTGCACTGGCATTCTTTTTGCGTTCTAGGCTAAGTGGACAGATACGAGCAGATATGGTAGAATCCTTACGCCTTCAATTAACTTTTCATAAGTACGTCTCTATAATTGAGTAGGGCAGTTTGAGATGGAGATAATCATGTGAGTGAGGATTTCATGGGCTGAGCAGCAGCTGTGCTGTATGTCCTGGTTTTTTCCAGCCTGTAATTTTCCCGTATATGTAGTACAAAGACCTAATAACGGTCCCTGCTTTTTCCTCACTTGTAACCCACAGAGGTTTCTTGTCCACCAGAGCTCTCTGTAATGACCACACTGCCGTGTATAAATCCTCTGAAAATAGATACGTGTGTGATGATCGGGAGACACAGGATTCTGCAATACTTTTTTAATTATCAAAGATATTTTGATGTGTTTGGGGTGGTTTTCCTGGATTTTATTACAGCCACTTTTTCTTGAGAATTAAAATCCACGTGGGTTTTACATGGTAATTCTGTTCATCAGAGTCTTTGATTATAAAGTATGTCAGTTATGTCTCAATAACACTGGAAAAAAAGAAAGAAAAAAAGGCATCTGATTGAGCTGAGCTTTCTGGCTGCGCCGGTTAATAAACTGCTGTAGTTCTCCAGTTGTCCTTTTCACAGATTTGTGCCTGGGCTGAGCCCGACCTGGGGACTGATAAGGGATCTTGGTGCCTATTAGAATTCTTGGCACTCACAGGTGTTCCTGAGTGTAAGCGATCTGAAACTGTCCAGGAGGAACTGTGGGAGGAGTTCGATTAGAGAACGGGTCCCAGCGCCAGGTTTACGGACAGGCCATGTAATGCAGATGAAATAAGAACTGACTTCAGCATCTTCCCTGAACTCACACCAAGAACTTTCTGAGAAAGAGAAATATTCCCATTAATGAACGCGCAGCTCAAATCTTCCCACATCTACACTGTGCGATGTTGACTAAAACCGAGTCACAGGAGAGCCTCATCGCTTAGTGATATTCCCCATCTGACCCACGAGGACAGGCAAGGTCAAATGACTCCTGCTTCATCAGGATCATGGGGAGACTTAAGGGAACAAAGAGTAGGAAATTAGCACGCCGAATGAAACCTGCAAATAACCCTGAATTTCATTTCAGTCAGGCTTTTTAACAATAGCTTTAACATTCTCTGAGAAAAAGAGTAGCTTGAACTATTGCCCTTGAGAAATCAAGAGGACCATCAGATGACAGACTTTACATCTTTACAGACTATTATGCAGCACGTTCAATTGTCCCATCTTAAGAGTCTGGACCCACCCCTGTTTTTCACACATCCCAGCTTTGCAACAAGAATATCTTCAGATTTGCCTGAGACTGAAATGCGGCAAGACTTGAGGATATACTCTCAGAGCCCTCAGGTCCTCCCATGCCGACCACTGGCCACCTCCCGCTCCCTTGGGCCATGTGGTCTGGGGGCCCCCCACTCACCTCCAGCACGATTTCTTTCATTTGGAACTGTTTCTGCGCGACTTTATCTGAAGACACGGGCTCATGGTAGTAGAGGCAGAGCAAGTCGTATTTCTTCAAAACCTGCTTGAAGTTCTTCTCGGTTAGACTGACCACGCGGTCCTTGCCGTCATAGGTGGGGAAGTTCAGCCCCTCCTCTGCCCTGCAGGAGGACAGCAGGTAGACCGCCACCACAAACAGGTGGGTTCTCTTCATCTGGGCGAAGTTTTGTTTTTCTTTCCCAGAGACACGGTGTGTAGGAAAGAGACTGGTGCCTTAGAGGACTTGCTGGGAGCAGTGGGGAGCAGAGAGGCCGATCTCGTCTCTCTCCTTGGCCCTTCCTGGGCCCGAGAACCCCCTCTTCACCTTCTCCGGCTGCTGACTGTAATTGTGGGCTTGGGACGAAGCGTGCAGAGGCTCACACCCATGCATGTGTAGAACCAGAGCCAGGCTAGGCGGCCCAGCCCCAGATACCTCGCATAGCTCTGCCCAGCCCCTGTCTCATCAGGAACTCCATTTTTAGGATGCAGTTGTTTCAGGCTAAAAATAAATCATGCAATGAATTAAAAAGTTAGATATGGCACTGTTGAGGGATTCGCTGATACAGTTTGTCAGGCCGGTGGAGGAGGAGGTGGGAGGGAGACGGGGGGAACGTGTGCACATGAAATAGGGAGGGCGGGAAGGTCAGAGGAGAGAAGTTCACTCAAGAGGGAGGAGGAGAAAAGGAGAGGACAGAGACGTGGCACTTGGATGTGCACAGGGCCACTCAGACGCTGTTGAATCGGTCTATTACCCCAGGGAACTACTTCAGTCTGTCCCTTCCTGGCAGGCTGCTCATCCCCTACCTACTCACTGCTGACCTGGGGACCAGCCGGACCCCCAGGTGGACTTGACGTTCTGCACCTGCCTTTTCCCTGGCTGGCCACTGCGCCGTGTCCCCGTGGCTCTGCCGGTCACTGGGCGAGGAATGTAGGGTCACCTTTTCTCCACAGAAAGCGTGGAGCTTCCCAGGAGCCCAGCCCACCCGGGGTCACAGTTCCTCTCCTTCTGCCCCGGCTCACCGCTGAACGCTGCTGACACCAGGAGATCCTGCCCTATTATAAAATTAAATAAAATAAAAGTTCAACAGTCTTCCTCAGAAGCCCTCTTAGGCTTTTCGCTATCATCCCCGTCATCTTTCTTTTTTAACATTAACCCCCAATGTATCATTTTTGCCCTTTTCCTCTTCATTAGAGACAGACTGCTGTAGAGAGTCCAGGAGCCGGACAGATCCGAGTTCGAAGCCGTGCTCTGCCTCTTAATGGCTGAATAGACTTTGGAAGGTCACTCACCCTCTCTGATTCTCAATCTCTCCCCCCCACCACCACGCCCACCATGTAAAATGGGGATAATTACGACTATATTGTAAGGCTTGGAACACAGAGATGGGAAGGCATGGTACAAAACAGTTACCCAAACACGGCAGCTATTATAGTTACTTCATTCTTCCTGGAGATGGTGGAACGTAGGTTATTGTAATAATTACTTCTCAGTTTCTAATAGTAATGGTTTGTGAACCCTTTTCTCTCTGCCTTCTTGAATCCAGCAGGCAACTGGGGCAGACGTGATTAGGGCTCATTGCACAGGGGAGCTAACTGAGCTTCAGGGAGCTCAGCACCCTGTCAGAGATTGCGTTATCAACTGCCTGAGTGAGGGTTCTGCTCTGCCTTGGAGCCTGGTGCTCCTGGATGCTTTCACTCTGATGGGGCAGTTCCCCCACAGACACTTCTTTTCTTAAGTGGCTCCATCTTTTCTGGTCAAACAACAGTCCACCCCTGTCCTTCCGCTCTTTAGAGTAGTCTAATGGCTCTCATGATTTAGGCCAAATTTTTTTCTTCTTCTGGTTGGAAAATCAGCTTTGGAAATAGCAAGGACTCTGTCCCATACAAACTTTGCAGGGAACAGAAGGAGAAAAGAAGTTCAGTGGCCTACATGAGTGAAAGCAAGCCCCTCTACTGCAGCCAGAGGTCCTGATGCTGACAGTCAGGCTGACGGGAGTTGTCTTCAGGACAGGTTCATGTCCAGGAAGCCAGGACCTTGGGGAACCCCTCGCTGAAACCCATGACAGCATTCTGTTCTTTCTGATGGTGAATTCTCTAGGCTTTTAAAGATAGAGCCAAGAGGGCTTCCCTGGTGGTGCAGTGGTTGAGAGTCCGCCTGCCGATGCAGGGGACACGGGTTCGTGCCCAGGTCCGGGAAGATCCCACATGCCGCGGAGCGGCTGGGCCTGTAAGCCGTGGCTGCTGAGCCTGCACGTCCAGAGCCTGTGCTCCGCAACGGGAGAGGCCACAGCAGTGAGAGGCCCGCGTACCGCAAAAAAAAAAAAAAAGATAGAGCCAAGAATAGCTGTTCTAAGATGTGGTTAGCTTTTCAGGTCACTTGCAAGTGTGCAAGATCTCTGCTTTCTTTAGAAAATTTAAGGGGGAAATGATTTTTGAGTGAAACAATATATGTCTTGTCTTTTCAAGGTCAGCTTCCCAAAACTGTTCCCAGTTGTCTCAATCTCACTGGCTTATCTTTATTTAGAATTTGCTCCACTTATCTTAATATATGCTTTTTTTAAATGTTACCAAAAAACTGAGAGATGTTTAAAGTCAGAGTCTTTGAATTTCCCACTGACTTGCAACTGATGAAAAGTACCAGGGTAAAGGGATAATTTTTAAAAATTCAGTTTAGCCCTCAAGTCTGGCTTATGACCAACTGTGTATTAACAGAAAAAAAGCTCCAGTGTGGAAAGTTTCTGTCCCTAAAGCCTGGCTCAATTTGGGACCTCAAAGCCCAGCCCTGAGGACGGCATGGCTACTCACACGTGTTGTGGTGATCAGGTTTCCCACTGTCCACCCACACCGAGACACGGGGGTTGAAATGCGTGTCCCCCTCTTAGGAAGGTTAGGTTTGCATGTCGACTTTTTATGTCCCAGCCATTTTTTTCTGACTGCTTTTTATTGTTTTTGTTTTTCCTTTGCTTTCTTGCCCACCAGCCTTAATGTATTTATTTTTTATTATTTGTGTGTGTGTGTGTGTGTGTTAGTTTCTGCTGTATAACAAAGTGAATCAGTTATACATATACATATGTTCCCATATCTCTTCCCTCTTGCGTCTCCCTCCCTCCCAATGTATTTATTTTGTAAACAAGGGATGCTTCTGACATGTCTGAGTCAATTTGGCATCTAGCAGATCAGCTTTTCATTCCAGTTTTAGCAGCTACCCAGGTCAGGGTGTCACCTACACACGCCTGGTTTATGTGACTGTGCTGAATTGTACATGTGTCTTTATGTGCCATTAGCAGGTATTTTTTGTCTTTGTTTTTAAACAAGAAAGGATAAAACAAAGAAAGGAAATCAATATAAATGTACGTTAACTATTGTCACGATATATGACATAGGCCCCTTGTTTTTGCTAACAATTTCCAGTCCCTCACTCCAAGTGGCCACTCCCTAGAATCCCATATTCTAACCTCCCCCTTTCATTTGTTTACCCTTGACAGGTGGCAGGACCATTTTGCATATGTTATTTAACTGGATCTTCACAATAACTCGTTTTACAGATGAATCAGTATTTGAAGCCATGATCTTTCATTTATTTGTTAATTAAATACATTTTTATGGGCAACTTCTATGTACCAGACACTCTACTGGGTACTGGGGTTGGACACATTATTCATCTGAACTCACTGAGTTTACATCCGAGAGGGGAGATGAGCAGTAAATAATCAATGTACTTAAGGGGTATATGTGTGTGCACCCGTATAAAATAGGACTTCAAATAAAGGCACGTGCTCTAAAGAGCAGTTGAGAAGGACAAGGGAGAGCCTGCGACAGTGGGTGGGAGGTGGCCCTTTTGGACCGGGGGTGAAGGAAAGCATCTTCAAGGAGGGAACCTAGGAGCAGCAGGGAGGGCAGGGCTGAGGCCGAGAGCATTCTTCTTCCAGGGAGAAGAGGTAGGTGCCTCCGCACTGAGACCTACGGGGATTCCACCACTAGGGGGCGTTGCATCCACCTCCGATGGAAGCATCAGTTTTCTCTCTCAGACTTTTTTGTCTGTTAATAAGACATATGGGCTCACACCTCCATGGGTGGGTCCACGGGGTAAGGAACCTATCTGAACGACTCGGAGGCAGCTCAGAGAGAGCTGTGGCCCGGGAGCCAGCACACCTGGATCCTGGGCTGGTCTGACACAGCACAACCCAGCTGTGTGACCTTGGTGGGTCTCCTCACCTCTCGGCCCTCACATTTCTAATGTGTGGAAAAGAGGGTCAGACTCACTGGTCTCCCATGGCCGCTTTCTGGCTCTAAACTTCTAGGATTTGTTCCGCCCATAGAATATTATCTTTCCCAGGATAGGCCCTGGCACAGGCCACAGGTTTGAGAAAGTTCGTTGACTGTTACCCGCGGAAGAGGGTTTCATGGGCGTGACTCTCACAAGTCCAAGCTTGCCTCTCCTCCAAGGCAGAGGTCTAGGACTTCACTGCCTCCAAAAGCCCCTTCTTTGGCTAAAATACTCCACCCAGTGGACAAAGTGGAGTATGGCATCTTTCTTTCTTTGAGCCCATTCCTCCCATTCCGCTGCGCCACCGGCCAAGGGAGTCACAATGCTGGCCTGGAAGAGAAAGTCCCAGAAATGCCTGGGTCTACAGCCGGGTGCTCGAGGCTTCCTCTGGTCCAATCAGAACAGTCCTGTCCGCAACCCCAAGGCCTTCCTTTTCCTCTTGACTCTGAATAGCAGGCAGCCCCAGGAGCCTTCCCTGGTCCCCAGCACCAGAAAACTCCTAAATAGAGCCAAGCAGAGAAAGATCAATGCTAGGTTTAAAAAGAGCAAGGTTGGGGGCTTCCCTGGTGGTGCAGTGGTTGAGAGTCCGCCTGCCGATGCAGGGGACACGGGTTCATGCCCCGGTCCGGGAAGATCCCACATGCTGCGGAGCGGCTGGGCCAGTAAGCCATGGCCGCTGAGCCTGCGCGTCTGGAGCCTGTGCTCCACAACGGGAGAGGCCACAACAGTGAGAGGCCCGCATAAAAAAGAGCAAGGTTCTAAAACCGTCCAGATCTTAACAATGTCACTTCCTCAGGGAGGCCCTCAGGGTAGACCAGGAGCTGACATTCACTCCCCTTAGGTACCAACCATGCTTCTCCTTGGGAACATCCCTCCCATTGGGGATTCTTTTTTCCCCAGCTAGACTGAGCCTTATAGGAGCCGGGACAGCATCTGTTCAAAGTATTCCTTGAAACCAGCCTTGCCAATAGTAGTTCTCATTAAATATTTGTTAAATAAATGTGAAGCACTAACTTTGTACCAGGTCTTATTTTAAGTACTTT